AATTTCTCCTTTTGCTGGGAATGTGTACGAAGCTTTCTTTCTGCTTAGAGTTAAATCCCTTAGACCCACTGAAACACTACTCATGACCCTACATTGTGGAAGAGGAAACAGGTGAGGTGACTTTTCAAGGTCATCTGGTGAGCGGTAGTGGGAATAGATCCTTACCCAGACTGCTTGACTTCCCAGGCAGGGTTATTCCCCTTTTGGCCAGGCTGTCATTTTACCTGGCCAGGCTATTTTACCAAGGGGGGGGGTTAGAACATGGGCACATAGATAAGAAGTGACCGAGCTGGGAGATTCCAAGTTAGACTTTTGCATTCCATAACACTGGCATGGGGGTGGGGCACGGGGGATGGGAGTTGGAGCTCAGGAATCCTTTCTCTGAGTTTTAGAGATGGACAGGGACAACAGCTGTGTGGCCAAGCTGCAGATCACTGTCATTATATGTCAGCAGCACCTGGTTGTAAGGAAGATGAAGGGAAGAGAAAAGCACAGCTCGGCGTTTAACAACGGCCATCCCTTTTGAGAAGCCCTCCAAGTCTGGCCTTGCAGGCACCTGGGGCCAGTTCCACAAATTATCAGAGGAAGCGTGGGAGACGGGAAGGGCCAGGGAGCCTTCCCCTGCATATCTGTAAACATCAGGCACACATGTGTGTCACATGCCATGCACAGGGCTGCTGGAGAGTGATACAGATGTATGTGCCTGGACGGCTTGCAGAGGCTGTCCCCGAGTGCATGTGTGTGCCCTGCACGGCATGTGGACACAGGAGCATGTCTTTGGACTGTGTCCCTGGGATTTGTTTCAAGCAGCAGAGCAAAGCGTCTGGCGTTCCAGTGTGGCTTCTCTGGCCTGCAGAGGGGTGGGGTGCGGGCAGCCAGCTCTGGGAGGAGGAGGCAAGGAGTCCTGTGTTGCTCACCCACACTGGCCTGCCCCCTCCCTCCAACGTGGCGGCACACAGGACTGCCCCTTCACGTGGAATGAAGCTCTCCTGACTCATGCCTGGGCTGAAAACTACTTGCCTTCCAGAGGGCTGTCACAATGGAGCTGCGCATAGCTGCCTTGCCTCCCTCAGGGAGAGTCTACTCTAGATTGGCCTCCTTTATCTCATGTAAAAAGAATGGGATTAAACTTTTTCCAACTAATGGTATCTAATTAAAAGTGATACACTGATGAAGGTGCCCAGAATGAACAAGCGGCAGCAAAACCCTCCATAAATGTCACTTTTCTCTCCTTTGCTGCTGCTCCCTCCCCATGGATACCACACAAACAGACCTGGTTTCAGTCCCGACTCTGACTCCAATTTGCTGTGTGACTCTTAGTCTCTCTTATCCTGTCTCTTCACTGTTACAAAGGGAACATTCAGCCAGGCTTTGTCAAGCATGCTCTGGGAGACTGAGGCAGAAGGATTATAAATACAAGCCCAGCTTGAGTAACTTAGTGAAACCCTATCTCAAATAAAAAACAAACAAGAACAACAAAAAATGCTGAGGATGTAGCTTAGTGCAAAGGCCTGGGGCTTACTCCATAATATCATTTTTTAAAAAAGACACAAAAAAATAAAAAATAAAAAGAGAAACATTCCTAGCCATGCATAGTGACATACAGGCCTGTAGTCCCATAGTTACTCAGGAGGCTGAGGCAAAAAGATCAGAAGTTTAAGGCCCATCAGGGCCACCTAGCGAGACCTTCTCTCAGAATAAAAAGGGCTGGGAATGTAACCCTAGCATGTGTGAGACCACGGGTTCAAACTCCAATACTGCAAAAACAAATAATAAGTAAGTGAATAAAACAGAAGCATCCTATCTTCCCTGGAAGGATCCAGTATGATGATAAATGTGGACTGGCTGGACATACAGTTTCTGCCCTAGGATTCCACAGTGGGGAGGACTGAGTGAATCTGGCCACTGGGCTAAAGGAAGTTGCTTCTGTCATCGCTGGCACAACTGGGCCTGCCTGCCTCACAGGGCCAGAGGGAACAGAGGACAGGGCCCAGGACAAGATCTGGCCTTGCACTGTCTCTGATTTGCTGTGTGACTTTGGGCAAATTCCTGTCCCACGCTGGGTCTCATTTTCCCTCTCTGTACAGTGTGGATGCAGCTGAACTTGGCTTTCGAGTATTTCCTGTTGCTCATAACTCCTGGGAACTTTCCAGCTGTGCTCCCAAGTACAGGGGAGTAGAAACACATCTGCAGGCACTGGAAGATCCAGATAAGAAAGGTTTGAAGGTTTCTAGGCATTTCAGAGCCCCCACCCCTTCCAAATGTGTGCTTTTTCCAGAAAGCACAGCTTGGAATGTGGGGGAAGGGCCACAGTCAGCCGCCTGGACTGGGCTCAGCGCTAAGAATAATGTGGCAAAAGCTCTTGACATTTTTTTGGTGATGCAGGAAATTTAAAGGCGCCGTGGCCTTTCTTTATTCAGGAAGGCCAATCTTGGAGAGCAGTAGACTGAGCCTGCTACTTCCATTGCTTACTCACTAGCCAGCCACGTTTACCAAATGCCTCTTCTGTGCCTGGGCTAGGAGCTGGGAACTCGGGGTGAGGCCACCCTTCCAAAGTCTCCAGCGTGCACTGACAATCCCGGTGATAACACTGAGATAACGCTGCATGATAAGCCATAGTTGGGGGTGAGGGGTAGATACGGTGAGCTACACTAGGGGTCTGGTGAACTCGCAGAGGGTGCTCCAACTCAGCGGCTTTCTCTGGCCTCAGTTTCCCTGTATGGAAGTGGAGGGCATTAGTCCCTTCTATTCTTCACCTTCTAGGATTCTAAAACGAGCCTCCATTTACCTCTCCGCACATCAGTAAAACCATAGTCTTCTCAGCTTCCCCTTCAAAAGTTGGTGAGGGCTAAGAGAGTTGAGAGATCTAACAGTACAGAGAAAGGGAAGTCCTTATGGGGTTTTGGCATCTGAACCTTCTGGAAACCAAGGTAAACCTCTCCTGCACTCCACCAGCTCTGATTGGTCTTCTCTGTTCCTGCTGGAGCCCTCAGCTCACTGCCCACTAAGCTACAAGGAAATTGAGGGCCAAGGTGAGGATGGGGGTAAGAGTGGGATCTGGCCAGGATTTGGGCGGTGTCCTTAGATAGCAATAATTTGTCTTTGAAAACAATACACAAACTGAGGGTGGTGGCACATGCCTATAATCCCAGAATTTAGGGAGGCTGAGACAGCAGGATTGCAAATTTGAGTAACCTGGGCAATTTAGGGAGACTCTGTCTCAAAATAAGATATTGAAAGGTAGAAAAGGCTGGGGATGTAGTTCGGTGGTAGAACACCCTACACCCCATTTGATCCCCAGTAACACATGTACAAAATCATGTACAACTGAGGTTGCTGAAGCATACAAGAACCAGGATAGCCACCCCAAAGACATGGACACCACCCCCAGGCAAGAAGGTTTTGCTAATGATGAGGCACGTCTCCCAAAAGAACATTGTGCTGCTTCTGAAGATAGTGTGGTTGGTCCCTGTTCTGAGAGGTTCCCGGGTTGCCTTTTGGGGATACTGCAGAGACTACCGTGAGGGTAACAGACAGGGGTCCATGATCCCTGAGATGCCTTGTATCCCAAAGGTTTTGATGCTTTCACTCTAAGGTCCTGTGACTGAGATTCTAACAGGCTAAGCTTCCTCAGCAGGATTCAAGGATTCTATGAAGTTTGTTAGGTCATCATATTCTCTGATGGTCACTTTAGGATTTAAATACTCTCTCATTCTTTGACCCTGATTCAGAGTCTGCAGTTCTGGGATCTAAGATTTCCCATAGTCCTTGTCATTAGAAGTCTGAGTAGTGGTGGACTGAGAAGTCGGTCACCAGGCCTGGATAGTGGAACTTCCACCCTTGCAAATGATTGTGGCCAGGGACCCAAAGGATTCATTTGCTGGGTGCTGGGATTGATTTGTCCCCAGGATCCAGACATACTTAGCAGTTTGCTGACTGGATGAGTGAATATGTGAATGAATGGAGAGTCTCTCCACCCTGTCCTTTTCTCTTCATACTATGCCCATCTGTCACGGACTGTTTAACTGTTACAGAAGATTGGAGGAGTATCCCAAACAGTCTGCCCTCCGAGTTCTCTATTAATATGCGCAAGCCCCTCAGAGTGGACATGCCTGGGGGTGGACACTTGCCTGGAGCTCAGCTGAATCCTCAGCCCCTAGAACAATCATGAAAAGCAAGAGGGGAATTGGGGAAAGAATCAAGGAATGAGTCACCACCACACTTGACAGTTAAGGTCACTGAGACCCAGAAGATGAAGGTAGCTTGCTTAGGGTCACAGACATAGCACTTAGTGGATAGCCAGGGTCTCCTTCCTGTGCACCTCGGCATGCCCAGCCTCTACCACCTGACACTTCCCAGGTGTCTTGTCTCTCTGCCTGTAACACACCGAAAGGGGTGAGACCCCGCCTTTCTCCTCCTCAGGACCATCGCTGGTTAAGTTACTGAGGTTGAGGTTTTTAGGGTGAAACCCTCACCCCAGCGCCCATCCCAGACTAGACAAAAGCACTGACTCCTAAACCTGCCATCTCCCCCTAAAGAAGAAAGACTGAGGAGGAGGTAATGGAAGACCCAATTAAGTTTCATATTGAAAAAACTGGAGGTGTGTGAATGGCGTGGGTGGGCTGTGTCTCCAAGGTAAGGGGTGCCAGAAGAAATGTGCCGTCTGCCCGGAGTGGGTTGGCTTGTGTGGAGATGTGTGTGTGTGTGTGTGTGTTTGTGTGTGTGCGGGAGTACTGGACATAGAGACACAGTGTCCCCCTCCAGGGCAATGGCCTTAATCCCCTTCCCTCCACCTCCGGGACAGCCAGGATCCCGATTCTCCACTGAAAGAAAAGATGCCTGCCTTCCCTCGGAAGGACAGGCTGGTCCCCTTTAGGGATCCGGCGCGCAGCAGCCCACAACTTTAATGGGCAGTAGGACCCAGGGGCTGGAGAGTGCTCTGCGAGAGGGGCGGGAGCCGGGGCGGGGCGGTTTGGGGGAGGTTCTCGTCTTTTTTTTTCCCCCTCCGGGAGCTGAGGCGCCCTCCGGAAGCATTTCCAACTTTCCAGAAGTTTCTTGGGACGGGCAGGAGTGGGTGGGGAGATCCATATATAGATCCTGAGCGCCAGGCAGCGGACGGAGAATAGTCTGTCCGCGGCTCCAGAGCGTGACTTGCGTCCGGGTCCAGGTGAGGGGCCGGGGCTGCCTGGGGACGGCTGGGGAGCGAGGCGGGGCAGATGACCCCGGGAGGGGTTGGCACCCACAAACTGGAGTCCTTGGCTTTTAGGGGCAGCTGAGGGGTTCAGAATCGGGACGCTGGATGGTGATGGAACCAGAGAACTGAGGCGGAGAGCGGGTCCGGGGGAGCCTGTGCACTGGATGGGCTGGAGAAAGTGCTGAGCACCTAAAAGTTCAGCAAAAGGCTGGTGGTGGCGGAGAGGAGACAGTGGGGCCAGGGCCAGGGCCCTGAGTGGACCCTCTGCAGGATGGAGGGAGATGGGTTCCTGCCCTTTCTGCAGGGCTGGGGCCGGCCAGCTTTGCACTCCGTTCCTGGAGGCCTAGAGGCCAGCAGTGAAGGAGTGATGGCCCAGTCTCCTCTGATTCTCGATGGGGGTCATCTGAGAGGTGAAATCGTGCTGGCTTTTGTTGTAGTGGGAGTCTCGAAGGCTCGTTAGCTTCCCATACAGGGGAGGAGTCCCCAGTGGTGGGCCCATTTCTGATCTGTAGTGTGGCAGCTGGAGGGACGGCCTGAGCTGCGCCGCTCTCCCTGTGAAGGTCTGCACCCTGAGGTGGGGGAGGGACGGACCCGAGAGATTTGTGGCAGCTCCTGTTCTGCCCGCCCACCTGGTTCCTGTGGAACCTCGGGTTTAGGCTTCCTACCCCCGGCGCAGGGACATTCCTGAGACGCCTGGAGAGAAGAAGGAGAGCACTTCCAGCCCGGCCCTAAGACCGGGCCCCTCCTCCCTCCCGGTTTCCTTCTGGTCTCTCTGGGCTGCAGGGCCCAGATGGAGACCTGGGGAAACTGGGGGCTTTAACAGCAAGGAAGTTTGACTGGGACCACACCCTCCCGTTTTTCAGAAGGTTCCTATACCCATCCCCCCTTCCTTCCCCTCTTTTGTCTTGGGTCACCGGGATTCCCTGCGGAGGTGTGTGTGTGTGTGTGTGTGTGTGTGTCCGTCCTGGCTGTGTAACAGGACACCACATGCGGCCCTTGGGAGGGCTCTGAGTTCTGAGAGGAAGGAACTATGCTCTAGGAAGCCTGACCCCTGCTTGTCCCTGTGGTACTGGGGTGACTTCTGCCTGGGGATCGGTTTCTCCCACTGGACACTAGATCCCCAGTGTCCTGTTTGGGGACTGGGCCTAGCAAACTCCTGGCTCCCCACCTTCTCTGGGGGCTTCATCCTCCTCTTCTGTTTTCTTTCAGAATGAAAAAGGCAGGCATTGACTACCCTCTGTGGCAGTTTCAAGGTACTTAAGACCCCTCAAGTTTTGGAGGCCCTGTAGGTAGTCCCAGCAATGTCTCCCCTTTCTCCTAATACCAGCTCAGTCCAGCCAGCTGTGGGCACAGCCATCACCTAAAAGGGCTCTTGTTTTTCTTCTCAGGGCTATGGATTGTCTAATCTTAGCCTTAGGGCTGGCATTTCCCCACAGCAAGATGGGCTGGGCTGTGGGAGGCCTCTGGCTTGCCGAGGCTTGCCTTCCCCAATTCCCGCTGCAGGTTTATTTAGGCCTTGCCTCTCCCTTCAGAGACCAAATCACTGATGCAAAATAGGCCAGCAAGGTTCCTGGAGTCCCTAGAAAACTTGTGGCACCCCTAGGAGTCCAAGCCTCTTGCCTCCCAGGTTGGGAGTCCCCCTCTGTTGGCCTACAAAGATAATTCAGCCTCCTGCCTGCCACGTCACCATCACTGGGAGCAGGGGCTGTGTGGCTGCCAGAGAAACCCTAACTACTCATTTGGAGCCTTTTTGAGAAGCCCCTCCCAGCCTTTGAGGTTCTGGTTGGTTGGGGCCAGGGGCTGTCAAGATGGTGGCTGCCACGTGGCAGCCTGGCTCCTTCACTGCCTCCTAAGGAAGGCCATGCTGGTGGCTTTTGCAGCCTGACTGAGCTGTACCATTGGCTATATGGATTAGCCATTGGCCTTAGAGAACAATGGCCATGTGCCTAGTGTCATTGTTAGTGATGATCTGTTTTATTCTCAAGTGTTCTTGTTTGTACAATAAATGGTGTGGTCACTTTGCCTTTAGGGTCTGAAGCCTGGTGGAGAAGGAGCCAGGGCTGGGAGGGAAGAGGCTGGGGGTCTAGTTTGGGCCTCAAGACCCTGACTCCTTGAACCCTTTCCTTCGCCTCTGCACTGTACCTTCAAGGTCCTGACAGTACAGGGAGGTGAAAAACCTGCCTGAGTTTATAGGAAGCCAGGAGTAGAACCTTCCCAGGAGTCATTGCTCTCCCTCAGCAGGCCAGTGTACCCAGGGTTTTATACCAGGATTTTGAATTTTCAGTTTTTCTAGGGGAGAGGAGGGTCATGAAATTTGATCTGCCAGAGCAGCAGAGTCTTGGTCTCCACCAGGCTTCTTCCTGACTCTTCAGCCCTGTCCTCTCTTCTGTCCTGATGCATAAAGAAAGGGGCGGGGGAGTTGAAGGGCACACGTGTATATGCCTGCGTGCATGCACCTGTGTGTATGTGTGTAAGTACCCTGTGAACAGAGACCATCCTTATTGGAGGCCCCAGAGAAGGGAGTAGGGCTTGTTTTAGAGGCCCTGGTACTGCTGGGTTTGGAGAGGGTGTCTGAGGGCAACCTTGAGACCATAGAACAGATGGCCTATGTGGCAGTGGATGTAAGATGGGAGGACATTGGTCTCCAACATCCTGGAAGGATGAACACACACACATCTTATCAGCCTGTGGTGATGGGGGAGGGATCACTGGTCTATTGAGCTGTGACTCATTTCCCTCCCCAGGATCCTGTCCCTGCTGCTCTCTCAGGAAGCCCCCTTCCTTGCCTAGTTTCCAAGTAGTTGGTCTCAGGAGTTGTCCTGGGATTTCCCTTTTGGTCCAGGGACAGTGTGCAAATGTGCAAGCCAAATCCTTGGGCCTGAGAAACCTAGACCCTTCCAGCTTGCAAAAGGAAGACAGGCTCAGTGGACACACACACACACACACACACACACACACACACACACACTCACACTCAAGATCACCCTAGGGGTAGTGGAGTATAGCATCAGAGCTCTCCTAATTAATGAGTTGACTCATTAACATCCCAGAGCTGAATGAAAGGTGTGTTGTGGGGGGGCAGCATACTCTACAGCCCTGTCACACGTGACATCCTTTGCTTGAGCACCTGGACTTTTTGCAGACAGCAGCCCAGCTGCTGTTTTTTCCTTACTGCGGAAAGGCCCTGAGAATTGTGGTGAGATCAGAACCAAACTATGAATAACTGAGGACACCCCTGGCCTGGCCAAATGGCCCTGTTTTATCTTCACTCAGGATTAGCTTGTCCCTGTCTTGTCTAGGCACTGGGAATATGGGGAACCAAATTGGCTAGGCATCCTGTCCTGGAGGCCACAGCCTACTTAAAGGCAAAAGAGATTTATAATAAACACCTAAGTAAGTGTTGGGTGTGCACTGCAGGAAATCAGGGTGGTCTGACGGTGACCTGTTGGGAACCCTGCTTTAGTTAGGGAGGTCAAAGAAGACCTTGGGGGAGAACTGGGCAGTCCTGAGTTAGGCCTGGGCTTCCAGAACTCTGCTTTTACACCAATCTTCAGGGGACTTGATGGTACCCAGAAGGCTAGGGTTGGTGGCTGGGGAGGAAGGCATAGTGCTACCTTCTCTCTGCACCCCTTACAGGTACCCCATGGTGCACACAGCCCACCTCTCAGCCATGCGCTGCCTCCTGCTACTTGGTACTTTCAGCCTCCTGGCGGTGGCCCTGGCAGCTGAGGTGAAGAAACCTGCAGCAGTGGCAGCTCCTGGCACTGCAGAGAAGCTGAGCTCCAAGGCAGCCACACTGGCTGAGCGCAGTGCTGGCCTGGCCTTCAGTCTGTATCAGGCCATGGCGAAGGACCAGGCAGTGGAAAATATCTTGCTGTCACCTGTGGTGGTGGCCTCATCCCTGGGGCTGGTTTCTCTGGGCGGCAAGGCAGCCACCGCATCACAGGCCAAGGCGGTGCTGAGTGCAGAGCAGCTACGCGATGAGGAGGTGCACACAGGCCTGGGGGAGCTGCTGCGGTCACTCAGCAACTCCACCGCCCGAAATGTGACCTGGAAGCTGGGCAGCCGCCTTTACGGCCCCAGCTCAGTGAGCTTCGCTGATGACTTTGTGCGCAGCAGCAAACAGCATTACAACTGCGAGCACTCCAAGATCAACTTCCGAGACAAGCGCAGTGCCCTGCAGTCCATCAATGAGTGGGCGGCGCAGACCACAGACGGCAAGCTGCCCGAGGTCACCAAGGATGTGGAACGCACCGACGGTGCCCTGCTTGTCAATGCCATGTTCTTCAAGCGTGAGTCCAAGACGGGGCCGGGAGGATGAGGGGGGAGGTTTCTCCTCTCAGGAGAAACAAGCCTTTCTCATGTCAAATGCTTCACTGTTTTTCTTAAATACCCACAACTCCCAGAGGCAGAACTGTTACTAAACCCTTCGTACGCCTAGAAGGCAGATGTAGAGAGAGAGCCAGGTGTCTAAAGGAATGGTGCAGGTATCCAAGCCCTCTGAGGGACTCCAGAAGATGTGCTCCTTCATCAAAACAAAGTGCTGTTGCTTCTGTGTGTTGGAATCGCTCAGTAGTCAGTTCTGCCTCATCATTGAGCTAAGGAAAGGCTCCTGTTCCTTAAAGCAACTCCATGGGCAGGTACTGTTAGTTCCCTTTCACAGGTAAAGAAGCTGAAGCCCATCTAGGGGGTAGCAGTTTCAGGAGTCAAGCTGAGTGCATCAGTAGACCTGAAGATTAGATTTGGAGTGGGTGGATCTGTGAAGACCCATGTGGATAGTGCTGTTCTCACAATTGCTCTGAGAACAAGGTAACCTGTTTTACAAATGTGGCCAAACTAGGAGAGGGGAGAAGTTCTGACAGACAGCAGGCCACTGCCACACATAAATTGTTTGGATCATCTTTGTGACTACAGAAACAACTTGCAGACAAGAATTAAGGGTAATCATAGGGAGCTCCTTGCCCAGGGGACACATCCTCCTCACTTACCAGGTGAGGTAGAAAGCCAAGCTCAGCACATTTCTCTACTACCCAGGTAGTAGACACAGAGGTGGCTGAGCTGAGAGTAGGATGAATTCCTTGTCATGTGGGAGCAGCTGGGCAGTGGCTAGAGAGAACTGCATGTCCTCAGATAGCATGTCCTCGGGTTTGGGTCCCCTCACCCCACAGAGAACCATGTCCTCTGAGGACTGGATGCTTGGGGGTGACGCTTACAGCCTGACCCCATGGCTAAGGCGTAGTGTGCAGTTAGAGTGCTTGTGGGCTGTGATTGTATCTGGGGACATGAATCTCTGACTCAGTGCTCTGTCCCCATACAGCTCACTGGGACGAGAAGTTCCACCACAAGATGGTGGACAACCGTGGCTTCATGGTGACTCGTTCATATACCGTGGGAGTTACGATGATGCATCGGACAGGTAGGTGCCTTGCAGAGCGGGAGACCAAGGTGCAGTTCCAATGTGCTCAGGGTCTGGCCTGCCTCCCACCCCACAGTGTACCAATGTCCTCTGCTCTCTGCCCAAGGCCTCTACAACTACTATGACGATGAGAAGGAGAAGGTGCAGATCCTGGAGATGCCCCTTGCCCACAAGCTCTCCAGCCTCATCATCCTCATGCCCCACCATGTGGAGCCACTCGAGCGTCTTGAGAAGCTGCTGACAAAGGAGCAGCTGAAGGTCTGGATGGGGAAGATGCAGAAGAAGGCTGTTGCCATCTCTCTGCCCAAGGGAGTGGTGGAAGTGACTCATGACCTGCAGGTGAGGCTGGAGGAGAGGGGCTTGGGCACTTCTCTCTGCTGGGCTCTGCTGGGGGACACTGGAGAACAAATGTGGACCCTGCCCTTGGACAGATGATAAAATAAGGTTGGATACTTGCTGTGTCCCAGGCAGCCTTCTAAGCATTTGCTATGTGTTAATTCGCATAATCTTCCAAACAGCTTCATTAGGGAGGATTATAAATTAGTTGGCAGATGAGGAAACAGACTTCGAAAGGTTAAGTGACCTGTCTGAAGTCACAGAGCCAGTATTTGGGACATCGTGCTCTCAAGCCAGCCCTGTCACTGCACTACTCTTCACCAGTGATAAGAAGACTAGTACCTGGGGGTCACTTAGAATGGCCAGCAGCTTGGCACATAGGCTTGAGGGGATCTCCCTGCTCACGCTACCCTGGGTGGTGGGTAGAGACTTGGAGAAAAGTGACTTCCTAAGGCCCTCTGGCTCAATAGCACCACCCCCTTTACTCGAGAAAAATTTCTTCTCATTCTTGCCTTGGCTGCCAGAAATGTTTCCCTGGCAGGCTTCTCACCCACAGAATTTGTTCAGCCTACTGAGGGAGCTGCAGATGAAGTGGTGCTTGGGCTCCAAACCAGAGGCCAGTAGAGCTTGTAGAGGTCTCAATTAGACACTGAGTTTCCAGATAGGGCTCCTCACTGTCTCCCAGCTGGGCCTGGCTGGGTTCTTCCCCAGTCTCTTTTGTCAGTGGTTGATGTCTGCTTGCTTTCTGTCCTTATTTCTCGTGTGTCTTTCTGGACCTCTCAGTAGAGCTACTGTGTACCAGACTGGGGTAGATGGAATTGTGAAATTTGAGGGGGGTGACTTGCATAGTTTTTAGGACTGGAATAGCTAGGCCTTCTTAGATATCTATCCAGGACTCCTCGAGCCTCAAGACCCTAGCCTAGCACTGCTTTGGCCATGCCAGGGAGGTGAGACTGTCTGCAGAAGCCTGGGCCTTGGAGGTGCTGTTGACTTGGCCCGTGGTCGTTCACTGACAGCTCTTCCACATGGAGAGTCGGCGAGAACGCTGGACAGGGGCGCCACCCTCCCAGAGCTCCAAGTTAGGTGGGAGGACTAGGCAGGACCAGGCACTGCTTATCTTGAGGGAGAGCAGGTGGGATGCCAGAGCTGAGGCCAAAGGCTGTATAGCACAGCCATGGGTCACGTATTCAAAAGATGTATCTTATATTCACATGCTGTGCAGTCGTCCCCCCACCCGTTTTAACTTTTTAAAACAAATTTATGTGGAATGTATGATGAATGTATTAAAAATAGATCAGTATAATGAACTCTCAGGCTCCCATCACTCAGCTTTGCCATTGTCCCCTCACAGCCTGTGCCACCCATTTCTCCCAGGTTACTGTGGACAGGTTTTAAGCCCAGAGTGATGTGGATAGAGCTGTCTTCCCATCATTCTTTCTCAAACCTGAGTGTGCCCAGAACCATCCGTGGAGTTGGTTGGAAAGGACCCTGACTCACCCCTGAGCTTGGGGTTCAGTGGGCCTGGGCTGGCGTCAGGGATGAGACTTTGGGAAAGTCCCTGGTGTGCTGTCTGGCCATGAAGCACACTCAAGAGGAAGCCCTAGATGGCGTGGCAGGGAAGGGTGGATTCTGACTTGATTTACTGGGTCTCCGTTTCATCGCCTGTGAAGTGCAAGTAGAATCCCTCGAGGGTGGCAATGACAGTGAGGAAGCAGTGGTTTGAGATGCCCTGCACCATGCCTGGCACACAGTAGGTAGCCAGAGAGTAGCTGTACCTTTGGAGGAGCAGTCAGGGTGGTGAGGGAAGAGGGCGAGGATGAGTGCATGACCTTACCTGACATCTGATTCCACAGAAACACCTGGCGGGGCTGGGCCTAACTGAGGCCATTGACAAGACCAAGGCAGACTTGTCCCGCATGTCAGGCAAGAAGGACCTGTACCTGGCCAGCGTGTTCCATGCCACTGCCTTCGAGTGGGACACAGAGGGCAACCCCTTTGACCAGGACATCTACGGGCGGGAAGAGCTGCGCAGCCCCAAGCTGTTCTATGCCGATCACCCTTTCATCTTCCTGGTTCGAGACACCCAGAGCGGCTCCCTGCTGTTCATTGGGCGCCTGGTGCGGCCCAAGGGAGACAAGATGCGAGATGAGTTATAGGGCCCTGGGGTGTACAGGGATGCAGGAGGCAGCCTGAAGGCTCCTGAGACACATGGGTGCTACTGGGGAAAGGTGCCAGCCTTGGATATTCTACGGGGTGGGGGTGGAAAAAAGACCAGGGTTCCCATGTGTCCCAGTGGACTTGCCCAGCTAGAATCCACTCAACATGGACATGGGCCTGCAGAAACCATGATGCTGAGCCCAGAGAGGCCACATGCTGTGGGAGCTGGGTGTCTTGATTCTGCCCAGTCTTCAAAGTCCTAGGTCCAGTCTTCCTCATCCAGCCAATCAGTGTTCCTATTTATAGCCAAGGCCTTTGAATGCATGAGACAATTGAGCAGCCATCTTCTGACAACCACCATCACCACCTCAGCCCCTCCCTGGCTCTCCAGACCTCCCCCATCTTCCCTCAACTACAAAACTAGGTGCTGTAGCTCCTGGGACCAGGCAGCCCAGAATGGCCTTAGTCCCAGTAATGCAGATGGGAAAACAGCTCAAAGAAGGGGCTCCTGGGCAGACCCTGGTTAAGAATCGTTACATGGGACATCGTGGGGACGAACATTTTGTTTTCCTTTTTTTTAGGTTTTCAAAGATGGGAAGGGAAAAGGGGGAATATGAGCCTTTGTTGCTGTCAAAATGAGAACTTATTTGTACAATTGTTTTTTTCAATAAAACTTTTCCAGTGAAATTTTGTTGAAGAGCGGAAGAAGATTGTATCAGGAGATATCCACATCATTTGTCCCAGAGGACAAAGTCTTCAGTTTAACCGTCCACACGAGGCCCTGTAATGCTGGCAAATTAACTGCAGACAATGGTGTGGAGTTGGCCCAGGATGTGCTCACTGGGAACACAGCTTTGGCAGCCCTAGGTGACAGGGCTGGCCCCACATTCTGGGTACCTTGGTCCTGCTGTAGACGGCCCTGGTCTTTACCCTCTAGGCTTTCACTGTAAGCTGACCTTTTCCCATAGGTTACAAACTCAGTCTCTTGCTAGCATGTTGCCTGCCTTTGGGCTTTGGAGACAACAAGCTTATGGATCTTTACTCTCAGAAGGCCCCATGTATGGTGTCTGTGGCAGGGGAGGAGGAGGAGCCCCACAGTTCCTTTAGGTATCATCTTTGTTCTTTAAGCTCTTGATACCATTCCTCAGGGAGGTAGAGGGATGCACAGGACTGGAGACCTGTGGCCAGGGAGACTGAGAAAAATAGATTTGAGCCTATCTGCTGCTCACAGGCTGTGTGACCTTGGGCAGTTCACTCCCTCTCTGGCCACTTCTCCATTTTCTCTCAGTTAACAGCTCTGTCCTAGAAGTCATTGGTCTAGGCAATTTGGTGGAGGCCCCCCAACATATAGGGCTGCATAAGGGCCAACTGATTCCCATTTTCACCACATGGAGTTTTACTAAAACTGGTCAAGAGTCTAGGTCTCTTCTGTGCTATGGACTGAATAAATTAGATCTCTATTCTATTTTTTTTTTTGTCTTTTGAGACAGGGTCTCACTATGTAGTTCAGACTGCCCCGGAACTCACTGTGTAGCCCAGGTTGGTCTCTGAACTCAGCGATCCTCCGGCCTCAGCCTCCTGAGTGCTGGGATTACAGGCATGCGCCACCACTCCTGTCTAGATCGCTACTCTTTTTTTTTTTTTTTTTTTTTTTTTTTTTGGTACTGGGGATCAAACTTGGATCCTTACACTTGCAAGGCAGGTGGTGGAACCACTGAGCTAAATCGCCCGGCCCTCCTAACCCTCTTTGATCCAGGTTTGGGGAATTTTAAATCTGGAAGGGGCATTAACCAACACTTCACTCCCTGGAGGCCTCATCTTTTTTCTTTGTGTCATTTAATGTTTTTTTTCCCCTTTGATCTTTTCTTTAAAAACATTTTTTACATACTATATAAGACATTTACTGTTTATTGTTTCCTTCTTGAACCT